TAGGCACTAGTCAGGCTGGATTTTTCTCTCTGAGTGGATTTCTTGGTCTCCACGTGATCTCGTGGCTTCACAATCATATTTGGGAGAAAAAGGTCAATTATCTCCAGCCACCAGAATCACCTGCATTTTGGCCCAGCTGAGACCACATGACTTGAGAAACACCCAGGAGAAAGAGGGGTGGGGAGTGAGGCCGGCTGAAGGTGGGCTTAGAGGGTCACTGCAGGCGTGGCACACTCCCACGCCCCAGGACACCCACTGCGCTGGCCGCCTGTGCAGAGGGAAAGGCCAGGCCTGAGGAACACTGCGGGCAGGGCAGATCCAGGCTGCCCTTGTGCAGGGAGGGTCTCAGCCCTGCCAGTGTTCAGTGCCCTGGGACGGGCTTCTGATTGTATCAGGCCCTGCTCAGCTCTGCAGGATGGGGTGGGGAGGGGGCAATGGGCTATAAAGGAAAACAGCCAGCCTTCAGAAGATCTTGGCTGGGCTGAGCTGGACCATCATGCTGCCCCCTTGGCCTCTACCCTGGCCCAGCACCAGTGATCACTGTCTGCACCAAAACTCAGTAACCACAGACGACCCTCTGGACACTTATTACCCACGAGCACCAGCCAAGGCAGGGAGCACGATTCCACTTTACAGATGGCGAAGTGGAGGCTGGGGAGGGGACACGGGCTGCAAGCTGTAGTCCTTGGACCACATCGAGTGCCCACTTCGCTGCTGCAGTAAGGAAGACAAGACTTAACCCACCTGCCGCCTCTGGAGATGAGATTCAGGAAGAGGCTTTGAGCAAGGCCTCTGGAAACGTTCATCTGTGGATTCATTCCAGGAGCTGCTGAGCCATCAGACATACATCCTGTTCCCCTTTTCCAGGGCTGCACCTCGACCCAACCTCATCCAAAACACCATGAGTCTCTCCCGCCGTTCTCCGCACTAAGCCTCAAGACTGTCAGAGTAGTGTTCCCGTGGCCGCTGGAACAAGTGACCACAAACTGGGGGGCTTACAACAATACAAATATATTCTCTGGAGGCCAGAAGTTAGTTCCCTCCGGAAGCTGAGGGAGAACCTATCACAGGCCTCTCTCTGGCTTCTGGTGTTTCCTGAGGTCCCTAGCTTGAAGACACAGCCCACCAACCCCTACCTTCGTCTGCATGTGGCCTTTCCTCTTTTGTGTCTGTGTCTCAAATCTCCCTCTCCTTTCTAAGGACACTTGTCGTGGGATTTAAGGCCCACCTAACACCCAGGATGATCCCATCCTAGCATCCTTAACTTAACTTCCTCTGCCAAGTCCCTGTTTCCAAATATGGTCAGGATCCCAGATATGAAGGATTAGGGCAGGGACATCTTTGGGGGCCACCAAGACCATTGGTCTCTTCACAGAACCAGGAAACTAACATGAGCCACAGTCTTATTTAAGATTGTCCCCAGAAGCCACAGTAAAAAAGATGAAAAGAAGCAGATGAAATTAACTTTGATTTTATATATATATATATATATATACACACACATAAATTGTTTTTCCAGCAAATTTTATCAGAAATTATTTTTTAATTGTGGTAAAATATACATAACATAAAATTTACCATTTTAACCACGTTAAATGTACAGTTCAGGGACATTAACACATTCACACTGTTGTACAACCATCACAGAAATTCTTCATCCCAAACTGAAATTCTATACCCATCAGGCAACCTCCCCTCCTCCAGCCCATGGCAACCACCATTCTACCTCCTGTCTCTATGAGTTCGACTACTCTGGGTACCTCCTGGAACTGGAATCGCACAGAATGCGTCCTCTTGTATCTGGCTTATTTCAGTTTATGCAATGTCCTCGAAGGTTGTCCATTACAGCATGTCAGAATTTTCTTTCTTTTTAAGACTCTTAATATATCTCACTGAATCCAACACAACTAAGTATTACTTCAGCATGTAATCTACATAACAATTATGCGGTGGTTGCATTCCTTTCCTTGTACTAAGTCTTCGGAATCTGGGGTGCAGCTCTGTAAGCACAGATCAGTTCAGACCGGCCACAGCTCAGGTGCTCGCCAGCATGCGGCCATGGCTGCAGTACGGACAATGGAGTGCTTTCCCATCAGATGTCCTGGGAAAAACCCAGTGGCCGTGCCTGGCTCAGAAACATCTTCTGGATCCTCTCCGCACTCAGTCAGGTACTGACTCAGCTGGATGGCCCACCTGTCCACCTGGGGACACAGCCTCTTGCATCCCCTCCTCAATTCTCAGCTCTGTCCCGCCCCACCTGCTGCCCAGGTCACACTCACACATTCTGAGTTAGCCATGTGTGGCCTCTGGGACCCAAGAAGGAAGAACATGCCACATGGCAACTCCTAGCCCAGAGCCAACTGAACTTTCTGTGATGATGGAAATGTTCCACACCTGTGATGTCCAATACACAGCCACAAGCCACGTGTGGCTGCTGAGCATTTGACAGGGGTTAGTGCAACCGATGGACTGAGGGTTTTTTAAATTGAAATCTAGTTGATTTACAATGTAGTGTTATTTTCTGATGTACAGCATAGTGATTCAATTATACATATATATTCTTTTTCATTATAGGTTATTATTGAATTATTGAATATAGTTCCCAAACTGAGTTTTTCATGTCACTTTACTGAAATGTAAATAGCCACACATGGCTAGTGGCTCCGGAACTGGACAGGCCACTTCTCACCCCGGCCACGCCCTGGTTGGAGCCACCTGAGTCCTGCCAGTGGTCTAGATGGGGCTGCCCCCCTGCCCTGGCCCCCTGGCAGAGTGATCAGGCGGTGGGCTCCCTGGCTCAGCGCCCTCAGGGGCTCCCAGCACACCCAGGGGAAAAGCCAGGTCTGTGTGGTGGCCTGCGGGGCCCTGGCCCGTCTCCTCCCAGCCTCCTCCTCCCTGGCTCCCGCTGCCCCAGCACCCTGGCGGTCCCGCTGCTCTCGCCTGGCAGGCACACCGCAGCCCCGGGGCCTTAGTCACTTGCCCAGACCGGGATCAGGCGCCCGCGCCATCTGCTCCTTCCCAAACTCCCTAGCCCGCTTGCTATTTTCCCACAGCACTGAGCATCTAGTAACCTTCTGCATACTCACTTCTTTATTGCATACGCTGTCTGCCCCCTCTAGGATTTCTGCCTGTTTTGGTCACTGACGCCCCCAGCACCGCAGCAGCAGCCGAGAGCCGCCCGCCCACCTCGGTGCATTTGCTTGACTGAACAGAACACCTGCAAACGGGCTGCGCGGCAGCGGTCCTCCCTGCCGGCGTCTGATAGGCCAGGGGGCGGGCCCACGAGCCGGCGGGCCCAATCAGGACAGAGCCTGATTCCAACCCGCCCCTGGATGGACGGGCCTGCGCTGGCCCGGCCCCGCGCTCCGAGAAGCCCCAGATTCGGGGCTCTTTGAGGATGCCAGGAATCTGCCCAAATAAAGCTCTTAGGCCAGTGCCTGGCAGGTAATAACACTTGCTGCTCCTCCTCCTCCTTCGGTGAAGCAGACCACGGGCTTCAGCTGCACTAATTTAGCACATCTCTGCGGTAGGAAGCTTGGGGAGCACTGCGTGGGGTTGGGGGCTGGGGCGCGACGTCAAGGACAAAGGCTGTGTCCGCTGGCCTGGGCAGGGATGTCCCCTGGTGACCTCTGGGCCTTGTGTCTCCAGGACCAGATGTTCAGATTCTGGAGTCTGTAGCCAGATGCAGCAAAACCCTGGCTGATGGGAGGTCCCGCTTTCTATGCAGAAGGCCCCCGGCCACCGTGGGGGAGCTGGGTCTGTGCAGGTGGCCCCGCCAGGTGTCCTGCCACGACCCTGCCAGAGTGGACGCCCACAGGGCCAGGGCTGTTCTTGACACCTGACCACTGTGCCCAGGCTTGGGGAGGCACCAAGGACACACTAGGATGCTCCTTTCATTTTAAAATAAAAATCTTGTTTGCACGCTGGTTTTACCAGCAGATGGGCCAAACTTTCACAAGCCGGACCCCACAGCTGTTTGCTCCTCCGTCCAGCAGTGGCTGACGGACCCCGTGTGTGTGTGTGTGCCACTGCAGAGATCAACAAGCAGCTCTTCTCGAGGGGCTCTCTGCCACCCTGCACCCTGCTGGGGATGTCTGGACGGCAAACAGAAGTCTTAGGGTGTGAGTGTGCTGAGGTAGCGGGAAGAGAGGTGGGCCTAGGTGAATCTAGAACCCCAAGATACCTGGATGAAAACCACCTTGTGACACCTACCAGCCTCGCCCATCCATCTCAGCCCCTCCTCCAGCACAGCTCTTCCTGTACTTTTCCACCAGGTCCTGAGGACTGACTCAGGACAAAGCAAAGACAATCATCACTGCGAATCAATAGTCAAGTAGCTCCAAATGCAGCCTGAGCATTTTTGGAAGATTGATCAATTGATTCTCGATGGCATGAGAAGAAAGAAATGACTTTCCTGGAAGATCAGTGAGGTGAGCAGAATGTCTGAGCAGGGGCACTGCCCAGCAAGAAGGGTGGCCACCCCCACCACGTGGACACACAGCACAGGGGCACAAGATGGGCAGGGCGGCCCATGAGGGCTGTCCATGTGCTGCTCCACTCCCAGTGCCCAGAGCAGGGCCTGGCATGCAGTAGGTGCTCCAGGGCATTTGTTGAATGAACGAACGAATAAGCAACAGCCCCAGAAGGAACGCCATCTCGCCCTTTGCCGTGAGGGCTCACCGTTCTCGGTCTGAAGTGCGTGTGAGGAACAGAGGGCTTAGTTGCCACAGCTGAGAGGGGGACCCAGTTTCTCTGCAAACCCGTCTTCGCTACAACATGAATGAGCCTTGAGGACATCACACCAAGGGAAATAAGCCAATCACAAAAGATACTGTATGAGGTCCGAGAGCAGTCAGATTCACAGACAGGAGACTGGTGGGTGCCAGGGGCTGGGGAGGGGGAACGGGGAGTTGGTGTTTAATGGAGACAGAGTTTCAGATGATAAAGTTCTACAGACGGATGGATTGTGGTGATGTGATGTACTTTATGCCACTGAACTGTTCACTTAAAAATGGTAAATTTAATGTTATGTGTATTTTACCACACACACACTTAGTCTTCATCCTAGTTGGCCTCTGAGCCTCATGGCATCTCTGAGGTGAGGCTCATCCACTCTGAAAGGAGGGTGCCCTGCACAGGCTTCAGGCTTCCTAAGTAGGATGTCACGGAGATGGGCCTTCCGGCAAGAGGTGGCCGGCCGTCCAGCTGTCCACCAGCACCCCCGGCTGACCCAGCTCGCCAAGGCTCAGGTTCAAGGGTGCTTCCAGGGAAGGTGAGCGAGTGACAGGCCAGCTCCAGGACTGGCCTGTAAACCCTCTGCTGCTCCTGCAGGCTGAGGGCAATGTCCTGAACAAAGGCGAGGGCCGGGTCCTCCTGGAGTGCTCCAAGTTCCTTAGGCCACGAGTTGTGGGCCTCTTTTTGGAGGATGGTGCTCCAGAAGGCCAGAGATCCTGGGACGTTTCCCTGGGGAGCCAAGCCTTCTAGCATGAGCAAGTCTGCCAGCTGACCAGGGGTAAGGGCGCTGCAGGCTGCACCTGAGGCCTGGAGAGGTCAGGATGGGGACGGGGTACGGGAGGCGCCTTCTGTAGCGAGCAGACGGAAGATGCGGGGGGCAGTGCCCTGAGAAGGACCCGCATGTTGTCTGCACACCCCAACCTGAAGCTCCTGCTGTGAAACGTGGCTCTCAGTTTTATGGTACTGCTTCCTTTCTTTGTGATACTAGCAAGAAAATACTTTAATTAACCAGCACTTAGAAGGAATTGCTGTACATTTGAAGGAGACGCTTCTGCAGTTGAAAGAATATAATTAAAATCTACGACTAACCTGGAATACAAACATGAAAATCAGATCAGTTGACTCCATAAAATAGTCTGGTGGGTTCTTCATCGTGTGACTCATTTTTTCTCTTACCTTGAATCCTGCTCATCTGTAAGCCCTGCAGGGGCAGCAACAGGAAATCCTCAGTCTCGCAGCCCGGTGCCTGGCACAGACAGGCACTCAGTATTTGTCGGATGAATGAATGTGGATTACGATCTGTTCCCACTTACCCGCCCGCCAGCTTCAGGTGCGTGCGGGCAGCGTACAGCTGGAACAGCAGGTGGCCCGGGGCCGGGGCCCACAAGATGCATTGGGCTTCTCCAGCTGTACGGGATGAGACAGTGCACTCAGTACCACGAGGCTGACACCTGGGGAAGAGAGGGAGGAGCTTGAGCACAGATTCAGACGGCATGGAAGGTGCTAAGAGCAATTACTTTGAAATAAAATAATACAGGCCTGATGGAGTCGGAGAGGGAATCTAACAGAACTGAAGTTGAAGTCTCCCGGATGGGTTTGGCCGAGCGGCTCAGAGGAGGAAAACGTGCTGATGATGCCAAAATCCCAGCTCCCGCTGGCTTCCCAGTCAGGTGGGCTTTCTGGGCAAGAAGGCCCAGGCTCTCCTTTGGGAAAACTGATTCCCCATAAAGGAAGGCTGCTCCTTCGCTGTCTACTACTTCCTGTTTCACTTTTCTGACCAGAGACATTGTTAAATTTTTAACTTGAAAAATGATAATAGAATTTGGATATTTGTTTTATTTTTGTTTTTAGAAGCTGAAAAAGAAAACAATGCTAGTCGGGAAAAAACACACACACACACAACACTTCATCAGTTTCCCAGGAGTTCCGTAACCTCCCCATTAATCAGAAGTGTAAAGAAGTCTTTGCAAATGTGCAGAACCAGAGGGCTGCTGTGCGGGGGCCTCTGTGGCTGTCTACCCTCCTCCGGTGCAGAAGCATGGCCAGCCACCACCCAGAGCAGAGGAAGGGGCCCAGAGGGCTGGCCAGGAGAAGGGCTGGTGGGACCTGTGCCCTCGGAGGGACGAAGGGCCAGGACACATGAAGCTGGGCGGCACCCAGAGCACGAGGCTTCTCTGTAGCACCTGCTGCCATGTTTTGTCTAAGGAGCTGCTGTGAGGTTGCCAGGCTAGTGAGGGTGGGCGTGGGTTCACTCGGGAGGGGTAACCCCTGAAGACCCCGGCCTCCCTGCCTGCAGGAACACTCACCTGGCAGAGGCCCTGGGTGCATGCCAACTGCTTGACAGCTTCGGGCCTTCGAAGAGCCCACAGGCATTTCCTGCTCAGACTCCGGCTGCCATGCCAGGGCACTGCTTCCACTCTCCCAGGGACTGGCCTCAGTCCACTCTCCCCAGGGAGACCTTTAGATGACTGGGAGCCGGCCCCTCCGGATGTTACACATCACTGTAATCCCAGTATCCATGGGGGCCTGTTGAAAGCCGGAAACCATTCCCAACACGCCACATGGAGTGCACCCAGGGCCTCTGCCAGGTGAGTGTTACTACCAACAGGGAGGCTGGGGCCTGGAGATGGGCTCAGGCAGACCACCCTGCTCGGAAATTCCCGGGCAATCGTGTTCTGAGGCCGCTTCACTGGACCTCCCAGAGGCAGACCTTCATATTATTATGAAAGATGTTTCGGACAGGTGCACTGTCAGTGACCTGAGCTGGATGGGCCAAGTCCTCGCACTTCTCCTGGCCATACTGGTTCCTTTTTTTTGGGGGGGGGTGAATATGAGCAATTAAAAAACCAACACCTACAAACAGCACACAACACACAGAAGGGGGAAGAGACTCAACTTTATTTTACCTTTTAATTCAGAAACAGAAGCATTAAATTTCATCAGACATGCTTTTTAGGAAAAGCATATGTATAAAATACATCACTGACATCATCTTTATTCTGTAATTTTTTTAAAGTCTACAAAAATACTTTATCTGAATGACTGTGATAGAATCATCTTAAAACAACCTAATTTTTTGACTAAGCATACAAATTTAGGATCAAAATAACCTTAGCTTAAATTTATTTGCATTTGTTCTGATCTGAAGTAACATTTACCATAGTCATTTAATGGTAAATGTTTAAGAATTCAAGAAAGAGGAAAACAGCATTGTTGTATCTTCCTTAATTTACTCAGCATTTAAGAACCTAGCAACTCACTAACACCATGAGCTGAGTAACCATTTTGACATTGAATTGTTACAAAAAGATGACACACGGTTACCGTGTTTCAACTACACTAAGTCTTGAGTTGCTAAAACTCTCCCGCCAGGCCTCAGTGTCTGACTACCATGGAACCAACGCCGAGCCGAGAGTCTGAGGAGAAGCTCTCTGACTCCGGACACGGGCCTTGGGGGTGCCCTCCACTGTGGCCTCTGCCGCCCGCCCGCCCCAGGGCGCCGAGACACCTGCCACTCCCACCGCACCTCCCAGCCCAGGACGCTGCCACTGCCGGGCGCTGCTCCTTCTGACCATTTTCAAGGGAAACTTTCCTTTCACAGTTTTTACTTTACAAAGTCTAAGGAGCACTTGTGCTTCCTTTGTCTGAACACAGAACACGTCTGCCTTCCATCTCGGAGTCGCTCTTCCCTGAAACTGTGACAGCAGCACCTCTGGGCCTTAGACGTGAGGGGCCTTGGGGTGGGGTAAGAGCCTCGAGTCTCTGCTCGGCGCTGCGTTACCTCAGTCACACTGCGGACCCCACGCCCACCCACTGAACAGGGACCTGCCCCAGGCCCAGCCCGTGGTCCGAAGGCCGTCCCTGCCGGACACCGGGGACACACTGTTCCCCAGCTGTAGACCTTTCCTGAATGCAGAGGCCCCGGTGGTCTGTGTCTGGAGCTCTCCGGCTTCCACCAGTTACCTGCCCCCAACCCTGATCAGCACTCACTTAATTAAGTTTCTGTTCCTTGAAACCTCAAGAGGCTTGCTTCTAGGAGCCCTGCGGATCTTGAGGTAAATTATGAAACGCGCAGGAAAGAGCTACAGCGGGTAACAGTTCTGTACGTGGTTAATACCGGTAGTGGGTCACTGAGCCACCAGCTAAAGGGCAGAATCCACTTGCTCAATGATTCCGTAAATAAGCTATCTGGAGCAGCCGGCTAACAGCTCGGGGACAACAAGACCTTAACATCTCAGAGGGCGACTCAGGACACCTGTGTCTGCGTGGTTGTTCAGCAGTCCCACCGGTTACAAACACACACCCCCTTTCCATAGTCTCCCTCTGCCTCCACAGAGTTGGGAACACGTAACTCAATGTATCTTTAACAGTTTGCAATTGGTTACTATGGAAAGTCACCCTCGAAATCTCCAAGAATAGAGGTGCAAAAATAATTAGAAACGACACTGCTGGAAGTTGTCAGAAGAACTTTAAATGACATGGAAGCCACTCAATGAAATTGGTGGGACAGGAGAAGGAATCAAAAGCTAGAAAGCACTTCATGCCTCCGGGCTGGCTCACAAGGACCCCAGCGCCCTGCCCGGTCCCGACCCTGCTGGTTATCACTTTCCCCTGGTTTCTTGGCAGATGCACACAGTGTCACATGGGCTGGTGACAGGCTGTGTTCAGCAGAGGCAGTGGCATTATTTCTGTGAAGCCTCGTGTTCCACGCTGCGTGCTGCATGTGCCCCGCTCCCTGGGGCCCTCTGCCCCGACCTGGGTTAGCAGGCCGCAGGGCTGACTGCCCCAGCGCAGCGCTCCCCGGGAACTATGGCGTTCGGCGACGTTCGGCACACGGGCTTTCCTCTCCAGACTCTCCCCCACTCATCCTCGTGGACCTTAACAGCCCGGGGTCGGGGTGGGGAACGACGCGCTCCCTGTCTCTGGAACGCTGTCTTGGAAACCATCCTCAGTGGCAGCAATTTATAAGCCACAGAAGAAACAGTCTTAACGACTGTGCTGTCACACCTCATTTTGGAATAAAACCTGTTTGCCAGTGTCTTCTGGTAAATTCCAGATGCCTCGTCTGTGTTCAGAGGACAGGCTCTGAAGGCCACTGCCACTGAGGCAGGTGTCCCTCCTGCAAGCTGCGCCCCCCCCACGGCTCCAGGATGCAGTGCAAACAAAGCCTCATCTTTTTTTTTCATTTTTTCTTCAGGTTCATTAGGATGTAATTGACACGCAGCCTGTGTAAGTTTAAGATGTGCAGCATAATGATCTGACTTACAGACATCGTCAAATTACTAGCACAGTTTAGTGAACATGTGTCATCTCATACAGATGCAAGATCTCTTCATCGTGAGCCTCACCATTCTATAACCACGTAATTCTATTTTAAACAATGCTGACCTCACAAGAAGTTAAACAGAGGGACACGGTCCACAGCAAGCTGTCCAGGAAAACTTTGGAAACAGGCTCGGCCTCACTGGAGTGAGTGGGAAAAGTTCTCCGAGGCACCTCCACATCCTGAGGTCTGACACACGCTGCACTTGCCTCTGGGCCTGCATGCGTAAGCCTCCCAGGACGGCTGCGCTTCCGCAGGGCCTGGACCCGAGGCCTCCGATAACCGGGCCCATCGGTCGCGTGAGGGCGTGATAACACTGCAGGAGGCTTACAGGCCACTCGGCAGCCAGTGTCCAAATCAGTCCCATCAGTGGAGTCAAATTTTTCAGTGAAACTTTATTAATATTTTTATATTGTTCTCTTTCAAACTGGTATAATTCAAAACCACAGAAAACAGGACACTGTGCTTGGGTTTTATTTACCATCACTTCTGCGGCTGACAGCCAGCCTGGCACCCATGGTCAGGACGGAGCCACATGGGCCACGCACGGCACAGCAGGACCCGCGCCCTCCCAGCCTGCCCTGCCCGGGAACCTGTGTGAAATGAGTTCCTCTACGCGGCTGCTTCCCATGGAAACTCGGATGCCAGGTGGGCTCCTAACTGCTGGTCTTCTTTTGCTTCAGTCTAAGCTTTTTCCGAATCCTGTCCAGGGCCACTTTTCCCATGAAGAAGGTGATGGCAAAATTACGCCTGTACCAGTCCCTGCAGAGGAACAGGACAAGCACATGTGACCCACTCCAGGACCTGAGGACCAGCACCCGGGCACTAGGGGTGGGTGCCCAGCCTGACTCCTCATCCCCCTTCCTCACTCTTCCTTTCCCGCCCTCATTAAAGCTAAACTGTCCACAAAAGGCTCCCTCCTTCCTTCCTTCCTCCTGGACCTTCACCAGGCTGAGAACAAGGCTCAGGAGGGATGTGCCCAGTGCACCCCAACCCTGCTTTCCCCATTCCTGGAGGCCACTACAGCCTTCCTCTGGTTTTGCTAGATGTCTCCAAAAGAGCCCTTGGAAGCAGCATCCTTGGAGAGACACAGCTGTTGAGTGATGGGGGGTGACCACTGAGTCAAAGGACTGGAGGCTCTGGAGGGACCCGGGGGGACCTTCCTGGCTCCGGCACTTTATTCGCATGAGCAGCACATGACAAAAGTCCTCCATCTGGAGAAGCTGACTTATCACAAGTGCCAACATCACAAAGTTCCACATCCTCTTTTCTAGATGATCTGAACTCTTGGGTAATTTGCGTCTCTAACGAGGTCATTCCGGCGCTTCCCGTACAGACACTGGGGTGGGGCACACACAGACACAGGCTCCCTGGCCCGCTCGACAGAACATGTCGAAACTTGCAAACGCACCGCACTGCCAACCGCTGAACGGGCAAAGCTGGGCAGGCTTCCACAACCGCACGCACACGTTCCAGGCTCGGCGCCAAGCCCTTGGAAGCTGCAACGCCAGCAAGTGTCAGCGCTTTCTGGGCACACGAGCTAACGAGGGAACGTGGAACTGCTCCTCCAGACTGGACTCACGTGACGTGCTGGGTCTCAGTGTGGAGGAAAGGGGACTATCCGAGGGCTTCGGGAGCAACAGCGAGGGGTGAAAATGCTGGTCTTCTGGGCCTTCGCGCGGCCAGACAGAAAGCCCTCCTCCACATGAGAACAAGTTTCATTTCACTTAGGTGAGGCTATAGACGCAGAGCAAAGCCCCAAACAAGAAAGGCTTCCAGGCAAAGAAACCAGAATCCCGTCAGGACTGCAGTCCTTAGTTATTAAGGAAAAGCCAGATTCCACTGCACAGACAGCTTGATTTGATAAAACGTAGTGGGAAAGACAAACTAAGCTTTTCCTGTTCCCGCAGAGGGGCGTTCAGGACCCACCGCTGCCGGGATGTGTCTCTGCTCTGAGTGCCCCACAGAGCGCACCCAGCTCTGCAAGGTGCAAACGTGCTGCGTCCACACCAGAAACCAAAGGTCCAGAGAAATGCACTGAACACCGGCTGACCGAATAACTTACCTAGTTCAGAGTTCATCAGCAACAGACTGCGGGTGTTGGGGAACCAGCCTTTATACCCGAGTGCACGCTCACGAGCCCCTCCAGCCTCGACCTCTGCCCCGCTCTCTTGACCCTGCCCCTCCTGCCCCACCCGACACTGTCACGCTCTGTGTTAAAGCAGACCTCAAACACCATGCCGCTCACTTCACCTGGACATATGCACCGTGAAGCAGTGTCCAACCCTTTTTTAGAAACACACAACCACAGCACCATCACTGCATGTGAGAAAATGAATGATAACTTGTCAACAGTCACTGTTTAGTCTCCTCCGATTGTCAAAAATAAATGTCTTTTTACAGGTGGTTTGTCTGAATCAGGATCCAAACAAGGTCTACACACTGCATAAAGTCTCTTTTACTCTCTGCCAGTTCCCCCTCCTTTTTTTTAAATCCTAGTTACTCGTTGAAACTGGATCATTTGCCTTGTAGAATTTCCAACATTTGGGACTGCAACTCAGGTTATTATTTACACGTGGTCTGTGAACCCCTTCTCAACCCCACAGACACACTTTGGCCTCTTTCCTGTACACTGGCTTTAGGCTTGGGCCTCACTAGACCCCAGTCCACTTGTTTGGGTGGGAGCTCCTCACAGCAGCACTTCCCCCCAGTCTCAGAGGCACGCAGGCAGCACCCCATGGGTCAGGAGTGGTCAGCCTGGTCCATCCGTTATGAAGTCCCCTTCAGCCTCCCCACCCACGTGGCTGCGGGTGACCATGCCCGGGTCGATTATTTCACTAGGAAAGTGGTAATGTTCTAGCTCCGTCACTCCTGCTGCCTCAGCTGTCAGTCTGCTACAAGAAAAATGCCCCTCCACTTAGCTACCCTGAAATACCGTCGGCACAGGGAAGGCAGGAGAGGTGAGCATTCTTTGGAATGTCTCCTTCACTTATCGATTTTCAGGGTAGTAAGCTGGCTGCCCAGCCACATCCCGAGGTGACTCCAAGCCTGTCAGTATCATCATGATCCCAAAGATGTTTGTACACGTGATACATTTTTAATCCACAGCAGTCGTTTTGTGTGGCTGAAATGGCTTCGTCTGTGACCCACGGGAGCCCCTCGAGTTGCCTCCTGCACTGCTCTCACGTGACACCACCCTACCCGGTCTCTGAGCCTCTTTGCTTTCTTACCCCTTGTGCTGTTCCTACCCCAGACCGTGCTTCTCAGAGGAGCCCATGTTCCATTAGTGGGAAGTGCTGTTTAGGATCTCTGGTCCATGCAATAGGGAAGCAAACTGCTACGGGGCTGCCATGCAAATAGATTGAAACACAGTATCGTTTAAAAGGGCAAAACCAGTGGGGAGGGTATAGCTCAAGTGGTAGAGCACATGCTTAGCATGCATGAAGTCGTGGGTTCAATCCCCAGCATCTCCACCAAAAAATAAATAAACCCAACTGCCACCTGCTGCTAAAATAAAATAATTAAGTAACACAGTAATAAAAAATAAGATATTAAAAAAAGAATTGGAGCTAAAAGTGCAAAAACTAAGTTGATAGCAACTTCTACTTTTAACATAAGCATGAATGTTGTTAAATTCAGGCAGGGAAATAATCCTGCCCAGAATGGATGTGATATTCAAATTTTCAGGAAGAAAGTAAACACCTACCTGTTATAACACATGTGCTTCCGAAAATTTTTACTTAAAAATTCTTTGTAAAAGTCAGCCATTTCTTCTGCATTCAGTGTTGCTTTTTGACCTGAAAATTAATTTCAATTAATCAAAATTGCTTAATTGGTTCTAAAGAAATTATTAAAGGTAATAAAGGAGTTCAGCACGGTTGCAGGACACAAGATCAATATTCACGTATCAACTGTATTTCTATACATTTGCAAGAAACAATCTGAAAATGAAATTAAGAAAACAATTCCATTTACAATAACATCAAAAAGAATAAAAGACTTAGGGATAAATTTAAGAAGGGAAGCGTAAGACTTACACATGGAAACACCACGCAACATAGTCGAAAGAAGTGAAAGACCTGAGCAAATGGAAAGACCTCCCACATTTATGGTTTCAAAGACATAACGCTGTTAGGGTGACACACCCCCGAAAACGACCCACAAGTTCAGCACAAACCCTATCAAACCTCGGCCGGCTGGCTGGCTGGCTGCCTGGCTGGCTTTCTTTCTTTCTTTGCAGAAATTGGTAAGTGGATCCTAAAATTCATATGAAAATGTAAGGAAACCCAGTGGCCAAAACAATCTTGAAAAGGAAGAACACTGGTGGAGGACTTACACTTGTCATATTCAAAACGTACTATAAAGCGACAGTTATCAAGACAGTGTGGTACTGGCAGAAGGACGGACATACATATCAGCACAACAGCACTTAGATTCCAGAAGTAAACCCCGACATTTGTGGGAAGTGATTTTCCACAAGGGTGCCAAGACAATGCAACGGGGATGGACAGTCTTCTCGACAAACAACGCCTAGGACAACTGGATATCTACATGCAAAAAAAAAAAAAGGGCGGGGGAGAAGGTACAGGTCAGTGGCAGAGCACATGCTTAACATGCACAATTTCCTGGGCTCCATCCCCAGAGCGTGCCTTAAAAAAAAATAATAATTTTTTTTTAAAAAGGATCAATCCCTATCTCACCACCACAAGTAAAATAACATCAAAATGGCTCAAAGGTCTAAATGTAAGAGCTAAAACTATAAAATTCTCAGAGGAAAACGTGCAAATCTTTATCACCTTGAATTAAGCAATGCATTTTAGTTAAACATGACACCTAAAGCACAGGCAAACAGAGAAAATAGATAAACTGGACCTCATCAAGATGTAGAACTTCTCTGCTTCAAAGAGCACTACTGAGAAAGTGAAAAGATAGCTTATGGAATGCGATAAAATATTTGCAAATCATCCTTCTAATACAGGTTCTAAAACCCAGAGCATGTAAAGTACTCTTACAGTTAGTCAACAATAAAGAGAGAAATAATCCAATCTTAAAATGGGCAAAGGATCTGAATAGACATCTCTCTAAAGGAGACATAGAAATGGCCAAGTAGAACATGAAAAGATATTCAACATCATTAGTCCTTAAGGAAATTCAACTCAAAAAGAGTGAGATACCACTTTACACCCACAAGGATGACTACAATCAAAACCCTGACAATCACAAGTGCTGATGAGGATGTGGAGATTCTGGGACCCCCATACACTTACTGGTGGGAATGAAAAACGACTTTGGAAAACAGCTCGGCAGTTCCTCAAAAAGTTAAGCACAGAGTTATCAGTTGACCCCACAATTCGACAATAGGTATATATATGACTGTTCATAGCAGCATTATTCATAATAGTCAAAAAATAAAAACAAGCCAAATGTTTGTCCGTCAACTGACGGATAAACAAAATGAGGTATATCCATATAATGGAATATTATTCAGCCACAAAAAGGAATCTTCGAAGTACCGACACATGCTTCCGAACTGGATGGACCTTGAACACACTCTTTAGTGAAAGAAGACTGCGCATTACAGGCAGACCTTGGAGATGTTGTGGGTTCCGCTCCAGATCACCACAATGAAGGAAATACTGCAGTAAAGCGAGTCACACAGTTTTTCTGGTTTCCTAGTGCATATAAAAGTTATGTTTACACTGTACTGTAGTCTATTAAGTTTGCAACAGCATGTCTAAAAAAAATACATTCCTTATACAAAACACTACTGTTGGAAAAATTGCACCAATGGATACACTCTATGCAGGCCTACCACAAACATTCAATTTATAAAAAACACAGTCTCTTCAAAGCACAACAAAGCAGAGCTCAGTGAAACGAGGTATGCCTGTATACGATGCCATTTATCTGAGAATGTCCAGAACAAGCAAATCCACAGAAACAAAGTAGATACGTGGCTGTCAGGGGCATGTGGGAGGAGGAACTGCGACTGCCTGCCAGTGGATATGGAGTTTCTTTTTGGGGTGATGATGAAAATGTTCTGGAATTAGTGGTGATGGTTGTACAATTTTGTGAACACCAAAACCACAGAACTGTACACTTTAAAAGTGTGAACTTTATGGTGTGTGAATTGTATCTCAGTAAAGGAAAAAAGACTTGAGGGGGGAAACACCTTCTTTACCACTAGACCCTAATGGTTATAGAGTAACTAATTTTCCTCACAACTGACACATCCATAGGCGTGGACCTATCAGTGTGTGGGAGGTTTCCTCACTTAGAGACCAACGCTTCCTGAGCTCCTAAGGAAGGACCCTGAGCTACCGGTGTAGGGGTGTCAGATGTTGCCGAACTTGGTTGCATCCTGGGGATGGACAGCAGCCTAACCGTTCCACCTCCGAGTCAGTGAGCACACGCTGAACCAGGTGACACACCAGGTGCTGGTGGGGACTGATGACACAGGGACAGACCCAGTCACCTCTGTGGCAGGAGATGCCAACTGCAGCGCCCACTCTCAGGGCTCCCCCCGCCCCACACTCACACGACTTGAAAGGCCACATAGGACAGGAACCACAGCCTGCCAGTGTCGGGGGTGGGCAGGACCGCACAGCAGCCCAGGGGCCAGTCTCTGGACACCCAGCAATGGCTCAGGGGAGAAGGAATGAGACCACATGGGAGGGGGCACTCTGGCTTGGAAGCTCTAAGCCCCGAACAGGCACGACACCCAGGCTCCTGTACTTCAGAGCAGCCCCACATAGAGATGCCCCCCTCTGGTTCCTCCCAGGGTTTAACCCACTCGCCCCCAACAGGTGTTGTCTCCAAGCAGACGCCATGCTTCCTGGCCACACAGCCGATGCCGATGCTTCAGCCCCATCTTGGATTCGTGGAGACAGAGGGAGAGCTGGGAGGGGTACCCCAGGGCATGTTTTCACAGATATGGGAGGGAAAGCGGCCAACCCAAGACTCACACAGCAGGGAGGCAGATGCTCAGACTGCAGGGCACAAGCAGGTATCCCTCATACAAAGACTGGCGCCACCCCCCCAGCCTGGCCGTGGGCCTATATGTCGCCTGGACTCCCAATGCCTGAGCAAATGGCCGTTTATTCCAAGTGTCCTGGCTCCTCTGACCCAGCCTCCTGCCACTCCTCAAAACCTCCATCTAGAAGATTCTCTCCCGGACCTCCCTCCAGCTGCCTCCCCTTAAGAGAGGCCTTCCCTGAGGCCTCCGTTTAAACTCCTGCACCTCCTCACTTCCCTGCTTTTCTCTGCCAGTGGTCAACACACCCAGGAGTGCAGAGTGTACTGACTGAGCTGTTTGTCTGCTGGTCATGCGGGGAGGTCAGCTCTGCAAAGGCAAGACCATGGTTCTGTCTCATCCACACTAGTCCCAGGGACTAGCCCGGGATATGGCAGGTACTCAGAAGTACCTTAATCAATGAACAGATGGCTGAGAAGTGGGGTGAGGGGGGAACAACCAGCTGCCTGAGGGCTTCCAGGGGAGGTGACAGTCAGGCTGGGTCTTGAAGGATGAATACGATCCCACAGGGCAGAGACAGGGGAGGGGCATAGGCAGAGGAGAGGCACAGATGTGGCTAAACGCTGAGTGGTGGGGGGCAGGCAGGGCTGGCACGCCATGAGGGGCCACAGATCGGAGACCCCGGCTTCGGGCAGCGAGCGAGCACGCTGGCCCCCGAGCACCAGTGTTTTCTGAGCCAGGAGCGGGTTTCCGCCAGTTTGTTCCCTCCAGCCAGCCTCCCGGCCCTTCTCTCCCTGGCCTTCCGCACAGAGGAGGAGCTGAAGAGGGGGGACAGGTCCGCCCGGCAGTGGTGGTTAGGGCGGCTCCACGGGGAAGGCGTTCTGTCCCTCCCCGGCTGTACGGCTGAACAGTGGCTCTCATCCGGAGGCTGTGGTCACCATGGCACCCCTCACAGGCTACTCTGAGGTGAACTGAGTTGTAGCCTGTGCGGCAGGGGTGGGGGGTGAACAGGGCCTGGCCCCAAGAGTGCACTTGATACCCCACTGGCAGAACAGCAGGGGCGCCAGGGTCCCGAGGACAGGCCAGGGCCACTGTCAGCTGGTGTGTCACTCAAACGGTCCCAGGCTGACGCTCAGCATAAAGCAGAAGCACCGTAAACGTCTGCTGAGGAATTCAGGTTGCACACCTGTTAGCCCTGCAGCAATGAATCTGAGCAAAACTAAGTAAAGAAAGAGCTAAAACGACCCAGCTCACTGCACGCTCGCTGAAAACCCACCACCAGCCAGCGTCGACCCACCCACGGCGCCCGCCCCACCCCGCCCGCACGAACACCTCAGCAGCGAGGGAGCCAGACGCAGGAGTCCTCCCACGGCACCTGAGACCTCATCCGGGACGGGCAGGGTTGAAGTCATGGGCCCTGCCCTCTGCACTTGAAGTCGGCAGCTCCCTGCACTGCTGCAGAAGCTTCCAGGGAACCTCCAGCGAGCAGGCGGGCCATGCAGCCTTGTCCAATGTGAAGTGACTGAATACTCAGACTCTTCCCATTCTGAGGCAAAGAAGGGCGATGCTGCATGGGACACAGAGTGAGCCTTCTCCCGTTCTCCTCTAGGACGCTCCGTGGTCATACTTCCCTGCTTCTTGGCATACGTGTACTTCATGCAACTCAGCCCTTCGGGAAGGGAGCTGGGCATCTTCTACGCCACCAGCGACCGACGAGCAGTGCCCTGTCAATGTGACTCCCGCACTGCCGAGTCCAGTCACTGAGAACATCCTCACCTTGGCTCAGTAAGCATAAAATGATGCTTAGGTGCGGTTTTAAAGTGCACTACTGAATCTATAGTTCGAGCAAATTTTTTTCTTATAGTCACATTATGCATCTGTATGTGTCTTATTATGCCTACAGACTTGTTAAGGCTTTTCATAAAGTCCACACTGCCTCTTCCACTGTGCCACAAATGCCCCCTAGTCTGCTGTTCACGTCTGACTGGTTTTCTGGACGCTGACTCCTTTGTCTGCCTGGCCCTCCGGTTTGCTGGGCAGTCTGAGCGCTTCCTGCATCTCGTCTCCATGGGGAACCCTCGCTCCTTCAACACAACCCCCGCCCCTCAGCCTCTGCCAGTCTTGGGGCACTCAACTCCCTGCTGGCTGGCCCTGGCCTGGGAAAAGCCTCAGGCTGGCTACTTCCATGAACTTGGGAGGTATAAAGTGGGAGGTGGAGGAAGCCGGTCTACAGTAAGACAAGGCTGAAGCAGTGGGGTAGAGAGGGGATTAAATGGGAGGACGGAGGACGTCCCAGGTCCCTCTGGTGCCAGCGTCCAAGCACAGGCCGTGCCTGAGCCCAGCTCTGCCCTGGTCCTGGTCCTGGCCCTGAGCCACATCCGTGTCCCCTCAGCAAACGCTCCTTTCCAGAAGGATACATCACGGGGAGTCTTAACCCATCCCGACGCGGCCAGTTTTCATACTCTTAAATCTTCCCATCTTTACTTTCAAGCAGGGAATCATCACCCCTCCAGATAATGGAGGGTCACTTTTATTTTGTTAGACTGTCTACAACCAGGAACGATGTATTTAACTTTTTAATCCACAAAAATTGATTTTTAATAATTAACTTTTTGATCCATTGGAATACGTGAGTCTAAGTTTATCCTTTCAAGCCAAAAGTAATTAGTTTCTTCAACATCATTCAGTAAACAAAACTCCTCTTCCCTGGGCTCTGTGGGCCCCTGTACTCAGCTGCCAAACCGCACACTCGGGCCCCCGGGGGTGGCGCGCCCTCTACCGCCCACTCCTCCCACTGCGGCAGTGAGCGTTTGAACAGCTGGCAGAGCAGGCACCTCCCTTCACGTGTCCTTTCCTCAATCCATTCTTTCCATTTTCTGAAATCTAATAAAGGCCTGTCTTTCAAAAGGAATCTCAATGTTATTAAAATAATAAGACTCAAAACAACCTGATGACACACTGACTGCCATGTCTGTGGCCCACACAGCCCAAAGCCTCGCCGACCAGGGTGGCCAGGACAGCGCAGGGCGAGCTGAGGGCCGCTGTGCAAGGGGAGGTCGGGCAGGCCCCTGGAACCCGACTCCCCAGGTCAGGACCCAGGCTGCTCCACGCACTCGCTGTGCAATTTTGGTCAAATACCCTGCCCTCAGGCTCCTCATCTGTAAAATGGTAAAAGTAACAGCACTTACTTCACTAGGTCATTGCAGGGAATAAAACAGAATGTTTAGGCAAGGACTTGGCACGGCCCCAGCACAGCCCAGCCCAGAGCTGTGTGTAGACACAAGAGCCCAGCCTCGTGACAGTGCTGCCTAAGAAAGCCTTCCCGCCACCCAGCACCGGCCTGGCCAGGGCTCAGTGAGCTGGAGAAGGGTCTGATGCGAGTGTGTAAATGTGAGATAGAATGCCTTGGTTGTACCTGTTTGCGGCTTAGCTTTGTATTTGAAAAAAAAAAAGGAAATAAACTTTAAAATTATTTGTCACCATAAAAATGAAACAAAAATGTAAAAATGTATTGCCCAGCAAAAACCCAAACAACCTGCTAGGACACAGCACCCTTTCCTGCTCGCTCCTGCCCTCCCAGACCCTGGATGCGGCCCGCACCGCGGACAGCAAGGGGCTACTGCGTCTTCCCCAGCCTTGCACTCCAAACGCACCCAGGCCAGACCAAGTCGGCAGGGAGACAGGTGACACCTTAGCCCAACAAAGATCTGGCTTTTGGAGTCAGTGGCCTCCGACTGTTCATCAGAATGTTTCATCAGCAGACACCTGTTTAGCAAACAGTACGATGTGTCACCAAGGTCTAACACCAACCCTAAGAAAAAATGATTCAAGTGCACTAGACTTTCCATCCAGAAAGGAAGGACGGCATGGTAGGCAGGGGGAACGGAGTGAAGGCACATCAAGCACAAAGCACGGGAACCAGACGTGACAGGTGAGATGGGCAGGGGCCGGCAGCCCTCGGTCTAGATGGAGGAGCATGGCTGCCACTCTGCAGTCAAAGGAAATCTAAAAACCTAAGCCAGTGGCCAATGTCACATCAGCATTTTGGGTAGAACATCTGCCCACACCACAAAGAATGGATTTAAGGCAGGAGCTGATAAACTACAGCCGGTAGGCCAAAACTGGCCTACCACCTGTTTTTGTAAATAAAGTTTTATCGAGACACATTCATGCCCATTAATTCATATATTTTCTATGGCTCCTTTCACAGGACAACAGCAGAGTTGAGTCACCGAAGCAGAGACCTAACATGGTTCAGAAAGACCAAATTATCTTCTACCTAGCCCTTCACAGAAAGTTTGTTGACCCCTGATTTAGAGACTGGGGGCGAGGGAACCAATTAGGAAGTTATTGTAGTAGGCAGAGAATTAACAAGGGCCTGAATTAAAGCCAGATTTAAAGGACAGGGAGTAGAGGGAGTGCTGAGAAATGTCTAAGAGATAAAGGGGGAGTGGGGGGAGGCTCCCAGGATGACTCCCAGTTTCCAGCTCTTGAGTGGTGGGACCATGAACTGCCATCAGGAATCCAGGAGGAGGAGCCAGGGTGGGAGAGACAGAGGTTGCAAAAGCCATAGGACCTCAGGATGTAGGTCCAAAGGTCGGAAAGAGTCATCCATGAAGACCAAAAATAATGAGGAGGCTGACCTCACCCAGAGAGAGAGGAGGAGCAGGAGGGGGACAGACGTCCACCTCGCTGAAGACACCCTCAGGGCACCTGCCCCAGGGGGCCAGGACTTGCCCCTGAACTTGGTCTACTTCACTCAACATCTTTTCTTTTTATCTTCTCATGTAGCTGCTCAAACAAAAACAGTGTTGGCAGACAAAGAACAAATGAACTGACCTGATTCAGCTCTCAGTCCCGGGCCTTTAGCTTTTAGTCTTGAGTGAATAAACTCTTCTTTTTCCTGAAAGAAAACAGCTATCAGAATCCCTTTCTAGGTGGGGAGGTTGTGCTCAAAGAGGTAGAGCACATGCTTAGCATGCACGAGGTCCCGGGTTCGATCCTCAGTACCTCCTCTAAAAAAAAGCAAATAAATGAGTAAACTTAACTCCTCCCTCTCCACCTCTTTCTCTGTCCCTCCATCTCTCCTGGAGGGGTCTGGATGTGGATTTCCCAAGAAGTGGCCCATCTCACAGCCTGTTTGAAACCATCTGAACTTGGTTAGAAGTTTCATGCTTGAAATAGGATTTGAAAATGAGATGCTTAATGAACTTTGGGAGGTACTGTATGTTTATAAATCCACAGAATAAGATAAACACACTCCGTTTGACTTAGCCCGCAGAAATGGATAAACACATATTGCCTCACAGTCTTTCTTCTGGATTAGAATATTTATGCTTCTTTCTCATATACTTTATCGATGAGTAGGCTCTTAAGAATTCTGAATTCTCAGAAGAATAACAGCATATCCCAGAAGCACACAAGACACGCACATGTGAAAGACACAGTTGTAGTTCTGGCTCTGCTACATCCTGCATTTCCCTGAAGGTCTCCAGATCTGTGATTCTACTAACGACCAATATTTCTTCTGTACAGTTACATGTTGATTCTAAAATTACATACATATGAACATATACACGTACATGTACACAGGGGAGAGAGACAGACGCTATCAAACTGTAAGGCAAAGCATATACTAAGGATGTAGCGCCCCCAAGTGGCCAACTGTATCATTTCCCATTCTAACATGAAACCTAGACTTACCTTATGAAAAGTCAAATTCTGGTTTGCCCAGAACTGTTGGTTCCATTCTTGTGTTTCTTGTCTTAATTCTCTCAGCTTTTGTTCTAATGGTGATTCATTTTCAGGGATGTAAAAGTGAACAGGTCGAAGGTTTGAATATTTATCTGGGGGTCCTATCCAATCATGGCAAGATTTTCTCGGAGGGCAGAATCTTGAGATCTTTAACAAAATACATGGGATTAATATACGACTAAGAAAAACCCCAGTATCATAAGATGAACACTCGAGGTTTATTAAAGACCCACGTTAGCTTCCTCTTTTGAAGATTATGTGCCAGGGAATATCAAAATTAAAAGAACTGTAATGAATATCATTAACACTATATCAAACTCGTTCAGCAGCGGTGCTGGACTAAGTCAACATCCTACGGCAGAAAAACAATGTCAACCTGCACTTTGCACCACAGACAAAACTTAACTCAAAGAGAATCAAAGGCCTAAAATGTAAAACTATAAAACCTCTAAAACACAATAAAAATTTTACAACCTCACATTAGGCAAAGATTTCTCAGATACAACACCAAAAGCACAATCCACAACACAAGAAACAGATGAACTGGACTTCACCAAAGTTAAAATCTTCTGCTTCCCTAAAGACACTACAAAGAAAATGAAAAAGCCAACCACAGACTGGGAGAAAATATATGTAAAGCTGTAAAAAGGACTTGTTTCCAGAACATATAAAGATTTCTCTAAGCTCCATAATAAGAAAACAAACACCCCAATTATAAAACAGGCAAAATATCTAAATAAAAGTTTCTCTGAAGAAGTTATACAGACGGCAAATAAGCGCATAAAAAATGCCCAACCTCATTAGTCATTAGGGAAATGCAAATCAAAACCATGATGAGATACTACCACATGCTTATTAATACGGCTAAAAAAACCCACAAAAAAATCTGCCAAAACTAGTGCTGTCAAGGATGTAAAACAATCGAGCTCTTAAACGTTGCTTGTGGGAATGCAAAACAGCACAAACACTTTGGAAAAAAGGTTGGCAGTCCACCATGAAAAATTAAACACACACTCAACATAAACCCAGCCACCCCTCCCTCCCCAGGTTATTAATCCAAGACACATGGATATGTATTTTCACACAAAACCCTGGATGTGACTGTTTAAAGTGGCTTTTTTTATAGCTGCGCAAATCTGGAAACAGCCCAAGAGCCCTCCCCCTGCTGCATGGTGAGGACATGTGGTGGGCACTCCTCCACCAGAGGGACCACAGGCAACGCGGTGAATATCCCATCACCGTGAGGCCACACTCTGGATGGTTCTGGTCACAAAGCATCCGGGGAAGCCAGGTGCGCGTGGAGGAAGGGGCTGACCATAAAGGGATTCTCCAGGGCAGTAAACGTGTTCTGTGTCCTGAATTGTGGTGTACATGTTTGTCAGGAGTGAATTTTCCTGGCTGCGGATTGGACTTCAATAAATCTGACACTAAACTAAAAAGATCAGCTAAGTAATCAAAGATTAGCTCTCCATTTGTTTGTCAGAAGACCAATGTAACCACAGTTCATGAGGGGAAATAACATTCAATCTGGAAATTTCTTGTATCTTACTTATGAAAAAGCAAGCTCTACTGAACCCGCCTCCCACATCCAGAGCAAGAGTACCCCCACCCGCCCTCCCTCCGTGAACAACCAGAAAACCACTCAGCAACAGGAGTGGGCCACCGACAGGTGCAACGCAGAGGACCTCAAAATGACACACGGAGTGGAAGAGCCCGGCACCAAAGAGGACACGATTCCACATGTGTGACACTCTAGAAAAAGTAATCAGATCAAGGCGGAGCGCATGGCTCGAGTGGTGGAGCACGAGCTGAACACGCGTGAGGTCCTGGACTCAATTCCCAGCGCCTCCTGTAAGAAAAGTAAATAAACCTAATTACCTCCCTCCCCCCAAAAATAAAATAATTAAATTAATACAATAATGAATAAATGAAATATTTTTTAAAAGTAATCAGATCAGTGGTTGCCCGGAGTGAGGGGTGGAGTGATGTTACACGTCTTATTGGAGTGGTGACTGCAAGGATTTACACATTTGTCAAAACTCATCAAATGTACACTCAAAATGGGTGCACTAATTTTAGTATATATAAATTACAACTCAATAAAGTCAACTAAAATTATAAAGACAAAAAATTACCACATTGAACAGTTCTTTTGCATTTAGAGGGCACTTCATTCAGGGTATTTCAGTACTTCACTACCACCATTATAAGCTGCCACTTCCAAGGAACTAAAAACAGAGATGCAAGTTTGCAAAATTTAAGATAAGACAGTTCTTATCTTAGACTTGGCTGCTTACTGACAATTTGAAAAATGTAGAATAGCTAATAATTTCACAAATTAATGCAGCTAACCCAGTACAGCTGTGCATTTTGCAATGGCTCACGTGGTGGGAGCATCACAGAGCAAAGGAGGGACCAAGGAGAAGCTCCGTTCTGCCTGTAGCCTGAGCCTTCCTGTCCCCAGTGTGGGTCTGACCCTCTCATAGGTCCCTGGACTAAACCCTTAAAAACTAGGGTAAAGAACCAAGTGTAGACTGATAGGGGAAACCAAGTCACTCTTGAGGAAACACAGCTTGTGCGTTTTCACTTTGATAGCCACCACTAATCACCACCAACGCACACCGAGCAGCCTAAGAACTTGGCGTTAACTGAAGGAGAGTGCTAATTGCAGACCTGCCCGGCGGCACTCCTTGTCTTGGATGCTAGGAGCCTCCTAAGTCTTCTAAATTCCCAAGCAGCCTAAAAACTGAAAGAATGTAAACAGGACAAGGGTAGCAGTGGGTCTGGTTGGGGGCGGGTTACAGAGCTCAGAGCCCACAGAGAACACTTTGGGATGCTGCGTCAGCTCTGGTCACTCCTGAGTTCAGCAGGTCATTAGGTTACAAAATATGCAGGGACACCCACTCACGCAAAAAGCTTGAACCCACACCTGAGAACACAGCTTCCTTTTTTTACCTTTTTTTTTTTGCAGAAATCAGTACACTTTCCCTAAACTCAATATTGTTTAGTTTTTTTTTTAAGGTAAAATTTGCACACAATGAAACAGACAAATCTTTAGATAGCTTCTGAGTTGTAACACATTACAGCTCTCCCTTCAGGACAACACTGGCACGTATTTTATTACAAATCTGTCATGTTTAGCTCAGCATCAGAATGCTTACTATTTAGAAAATTATTTTGAGTCTAGAATAAGCGAATGAGCAGGAAATGTTGAAAAGTATATATGATTCCTACAGACTTTAGAGATATTTTTAGAAAACTATCTTTTAAAATAAATTCAAAAATTTAAGGATCCTTGACAGATTAAGTAAAATACAGCAGTTGAATGGGGGAAAAATGGATAGAAAACGTTCAATCACTGAAAAGAAGCTGTATAAAATTAAAATTCTGGTGACAATTGTCACTAAGTGGAGTGCTCCCTAAAATTCACCCAAATTTACAGAGCACTGATGGAGCTTAGGCTGGAGGAGGCCCCGGGGACACAAGGAAGGGTCCTGCAGGCCTACTCGGGAGCGGACGTAGGGAACCTACACTCTGAGAGGGTGGAGAGGACAGAAGTCGTCCTCAGCGGCTGGTGGTGGTGGCATGGGGGGAGAGTAGGGGCTTCAGGGACAGAAGAATGAGGAGAAGGCAGGGGACGGTGGTGAGGAGCCAGACAGAGCTGCCCTCTGGGCAGTAGCTGCTGGAAAATGTTTAATATGGCTGATGAGCAGCACACACTTTACAAGTAATGATAAAATACATGACACTCCTTGTGAATCCCACGCAGCTGAGCGAGTCTCACAAAGCTTTCGTTAACTTTTAACAATAGCTTTAGTGAGAGATAATTCACATACTACAAAATTAACCCTTTTAAAGTAGAGCTGTGCAACCATCACCATTAATTTCAGAACGTTCCATCCCTCCAAAAAGAAACCCGGTGCCCAAGGGCCTGGGAGCCACAACTCTGCCTGGGGCTCTGTGGGTCTGCTTGTTCCGTACGTTTCACGTAAATGGGATCACACAAGTACGTGCTTTCTGGGACTCACTTCTTTCACTTAACGTGATTTCAAGGTTCAACCAGTTGCAGCATGCGTCAGCCCGTTTCTTTTTATGGCTGGATGACAGTCCACAGGACGGATATAAACACTTTTTATTTACCTGTTTATCAGCTGAGAACATTCGGGTTATTTCCACTTTGGGGCTATTTTCAGCAACGCTGTCATGAACATTCGTGTATTGATTTTTGTGTAGACATCTGTCTTCAGCTCTCTTGGGTGTAAATATAGGCGTTTCCAAAGTGTCTGCACTATTTCACATTGTCCCCAGCAACGTAACCAGCTTCTCCACATCCTCGCCAACACTTGTTGCTGTCCGTTGTCTAACTCATGGCCACCCTAGTGGGGATCAAGTGGCACCTTGCTGCAGCTCTTTCGCTGATTTTTGCTAAGTTTGGTGCAAATAGCCAAAACCTGGCTGCAGGTGACTAACTAGTAGGTGTACTTGGGACACAAAGGCGATTTCAGACTAAGTAGGGTGAACAAGACCCACATCAGACTCACCCATTGCCAACACACAGCGATTTCTCTGATAAACATGGACAGCAGTTTTGGAGACTAGAAGATTATTCCCTCAGTTTTGGTCTGTTCACAATGTGATGTCAACAGACAAGCTATCCCTCTTAATTTACTCCATGTGACAGCTGACCCTTGAACAATGTGGTGATCAGGGGTGAGGAGCCTCCATGTACTTGAAAACCCATGTGCAACTCTACAGCCAGCCCTCCAGATCCCAGGTCCCACACCTGCAGATTCAACCAACCTGGGGGTGTGTGGTTCTATAGAAAAACTCTGAGCATAAGCGGACCCGTGGAGTTCAAACTCATGTTGTTCCAGGGTCACCTGCACCAACATTTCTCCTTCACTTTCCTAAGTCGAGACAATTAACAAACCAATAAATCAAACCCTGACTGGGAGCATTTGCCCATTTGCATGGTGCAATTACTTACACCACGGACAATTTCAAGCCAGCAAAATGATGTTACTGAACAAGGAGTTGGAAAGAGATGCACAGAAATACCATTGTATGCGCTCTCTACCATACAGGGTAACAGATGCAAATAACCTCAAAAGCAGAGATAATTATAATTTAATTTTTAGTAAAGGAGG